AAGTAGCAGAACAAGCCAGTGTGTGCCCGCGCATATGGACACCAGCACATCTCTGTGCACCGACCACGGGAGTAGGTGGCCCGACCCGGGATGACCTCTCAGGTAAGTAAAGGGAGGCAGGGCCCCTCCTGGCACTGGGTTCCATCCCCCGCACCCCAACCCCCTCCTGCTGTCAGGACTCAAGGGAGGGGCGTAGGGGAGGGGCTCACCTGGATCGCCCTCTGGGTGGTGGGTTTGGAGGTTTCATTTCTTTCACTTGTAATGGGTGTGTGTGGATAGCTCCCAGAGACCTCCATCAGGGTGCTTCCATCAGCCCCCCAAAACAGCCTGGTTCCTCTCTTACCCCATTCTGCTCACACTGAGAGGACGGGGGGGGGGGGTCAAACCGTTTGTCTCTTAGGCATGTCCCCGAAGGAGCAGAGCCGCCAGTACCAAGCAGCACTCTGTGACGCCCTTGCAGACATTTGGAAATGACCAAGAATGACCAGATATTCAATCCTCAGTGGACAGCCTCCCAACTGATGAGTCATAATACATTTACAATAGAAAGGTAAACATCAGGCAGAGATTCAAATCATTCCTGAGCCTTCTACCACCTTGCTCACAAATTCAGTTATGAAGTGGTGGGTATCCCAGGCATGATGCTCATAAGCTGCCCATGCAGTTTCTTTCTCTGTAAAATGGACATTAATTACTTCCTCATGAGAACACTGTGCCCATTAAGTGAGGCAGAGTATACTGCCTTTGGCTCTCTTTTCCTTTCCTTTTAAACACCAAGCTCACCTCTTCCAGGAAGCCTTCCTTGAATGCTGAGGTTCCAGATAACAGCATGAATATACACTCAGATTCACAGAGGTACACTTCAGCTCTCACATGCTCATGGGATGCTTGAGAAGTGTTGTAATATTTCTTTTCTCTTAGCCCCCTTTCACAAATTAGGTATAAGACATTAGGAAGGGGACCAAGTCTTTTTAACTTTTGTCTTTCCTCCTCTTTCCTGCCTTTCCTAGCATCACATAACGTAAAGCGCCGCACAGTGACATGCTGTACATATTTTAGAAATTTTGCTATAATCGAGACCAGCACTGGAGATTTACAGCTTATAGAATCTAAGACAATCAATTGTAAGATGAATCACTGTTTTACCTACCACCAAGGAAGAAAAAACGCTGCCAATTAAAGGATCTAATTAAATGGTTAGCTCTGCCCTGATCTCAGCGATGTCACAGGGTGCGTCCTAGACCCAGCGAGCTCTGGCAGCTGTTCCTCTGTCTCTGAGAATTAGCTGAGTGAGCCAGGAGCCTGCTGGGTCTTGAGGGCGCTGCCTCTTCCTTGGTAGGCTGAGGGTCACTGGGCACAGGCACAGTTTAGCAGATGGAGAAAGTAACTGATCTTGAGACATTCAAGGAAAAGGTCGGCTCTGATACCTGACCCACGAGTGGAACATGGGAAAACAAGTGAACTTCTCTGAGTGGGGAAAGTCTGGGGACATTCCGCCCCTGAAATGTGGAGCTCCTGCAGGCCTATGAGTGGAAGGGAGGAGGTGAGGAAGGAAGGAAGGAAAAACCATCTCTATCAGCCCTGACCACCCCCAGAGGAGGCCACTGCAGGAAATTCAATTTGGCTGACTTGGCTGTGGGGTGGGGAGTCAGTCAGGACTTGGGGGGAACAGGGAGCCCAGCAAGATCAAAGCAGAGAGAGAAATAAGGGAGAGCTTTACAATCAGGGAAAGGCTGTCTGTGGCCCCTGATTGCATGAGAGGCAAAAGGGACACTGCGGAGTCAGAGGGAGGCCAGCATTTAGAGGATGGGACAGCAGTGGCACCATCGACACAGGAGACCTGGAGAGGAGGCTAGAGTGAGCAGAGACAGGAACTGGGGATGGGCAAGTGGGAGTGGTTTGGGTCGTGCTGAGTGTAAGGGGAAGAGGGCCGCCCAAGGAGAAGGGCCAGAAAAAAAGAACAAGAACGGAGGTTGAGAGGGGAGCAGCTCTCTGAAGGGGAGGGGAGACGGGCAGGAGGGGAGAAGGCTGGGTTCCTCCCACTGGGACCTTTGTATTTTCCTTAAAAGAGATTCATTAAATGGACAACTAATTATGACTTAAATGTTATACCTTAATAAGACTTTCCATCTAAATACTTTCACAAATCAGAAACTATCCTTTTGTCTGGCCACGTACCTCTTTTTGCGATTGAGAAAAACCTGACCACCATAAAAACGGCAACGCAAGGGAACCCATCAGCAAATGTATTTCTTGAGCCTCTGTGTACTGACTGGCTGGCTTTCAAAGACTTCTAGCCCTCATTTTTAAATATCATTTTGTAGTTTTTCATAGTACTTTTTTTACATATGATATTTCATTAGATAGTAACAACACTGTGAATATTTAAGGCAAAAAAACACAATATCCTCAGCTCATTTATTCATTCATTCTTTCGTTCCCCCAGACTGCAACCACCCATGAATTTGTTTAGTGACCTCCCTCTCCCTTCACCCCGAGTCCTTAATGCTGCTGGAGAAATTGCATAGCCTTGCACACTGGTGTCATTTTTCCAAACAATATTTATTTAACATTATCAGGTATTCAGTTAGTGACCACATTTCCAATTGTCTCATAAATATTATAAATTGCTTCCCACCGTTTATGGGAATCACACAGGTAATGCTTACAGAACGTGACTGATGTGTCTCTTAAGCCCCTTTTAGTAGATCTGTTTCCTTCCCATTTTCCCCCCCTTGTAATTTGCTTGAAAAACACCAGGTTGCATACCCAGCACTCCTCTGCAGACTGGGCTTGCCGAGCATGTCCCTGCGGTGTCGCTTAGCGTGTTCCTTTGCCCTTCGGATTATCTGGAGCTCAGTGGCTGGATACAGAAGCTCAAGTAGATTCCGTCTGGTAGGTGGGGGTGTGTTCTTTCCCTCAGGAAAGCTTGTCTGACGTTCCTCTTTGTGATGTAGCAGCCATTGGTTATCAATGCCATAATCCTCCCCCAAAGTTACATTCTATTCTATCATTCCTTCTTCATTTATAGCTAAAAGTCTTCTAGAAACAGAAAATTCCCATCTACTATTTGTTTACCCAATGGCAACACAAACAAAACAAGTGGAATAGGATTCTTTTCTTTTATTTACTAGTGTTCAAAATGAGCTAGTTTGTACTCAGTGAACTGGTCCATTAATACCCTCTAATGGTGACCAATTAGTTTAGTTTTTTAAATTTTCATTATGAGCTCATACTAACCATATCTGATGTGTTCCAGTCCATTACAGTTTTAGCCTTACTGATGCTCAAAACTTTCCTTCTTCCGCCAGTGGGAACCTCTTTGGGTTGGCTCCTGGTCCCCTTGACATGACCCCTGTGGTCTTTGATTGGCTCCTTGCCTCCTGGTACGACAGTATTGATTCATCTACATTTTCTGTTCCTAAGATCTGGAATCAATCATTTCGCTAAGAAGCCCTGATTCTTTTTGGTGGAAAAAGGAATTTCAAGACCACAGTTGGGTTCTATGATGCCTATGAGTTTTAACCTCATGATCTCAGTGCTTAACCCAGGACCAATGTATGGTTAAACTCATTTTCTCTGAGACAATTTTTTCAGCCGTCTGCTCCTTCATCACACAGTCCATCCCCTCCACCCCGACCCTCAGCAGATTAGCTGGCCTCATCCTTCCCTGAGAGAAGAGCCCTCATCTTCCATCACCCACTCTCCCTCATCATCTTCCCGGCAGCGATGGACCCGTTTCTGCTTCCCTCCACACATGCTGGGACTCGGCCCATCTTCCCTCCCTAAGGACTTTGTTCCTTCCCTTATCCCCGCTGTCCCATGTCACCCATCTCTGCCTCTCTCCTGGGTCCGTCCCAGCGGGGTACAAACATGCTGTAGTGTCCCACATCCCCTCTCACTGCGGCCCTTCTCAGAGATCATGAACTTAAAACGAAGCCATTCGGCAAGATGGTGGGGTTTTTCTGGCAGGGTTTAGAGCTGTTGGGAGCACGCTGGACATGCCCATGCAGAGCTATCAACGCTACACGGAACACAGGTAAACCTCGCCCAGGCCCATCTCTCCTGCTGACGACTGAGAGCAGCCCGTTACTCAGGCAGTAGCTGGCCACCTGCTTCCTCTCCTGGTCGTACAGGACGTAGAGCGAGTCATTCCCCCTGCTTGTCACAGCTTCTGATGGTACTTGGGTGAGGTCTCCCCTCCTGCCCCCACTGTCCTCCCACCCACCTGCCTCCGTTCTTCCCTCATCCCTGGTCCCAGGCATGCACCCCTCGCTTGGTCCTGTGACTATGCCAAGCCCCAGCTCAAGGTGCCACCGTCCACCGACTGGGTTCTTCTCAGCTTTCCTTCTTCAGCCTACACTTGGCCCTGCAGAGGGGTCTGACCACAGCTTCCCTACCACATTCCTGTCCCTCTGAATCCTTCCGGCATCTGCGCTTGCCTTGCTCGTCTTCACTCAGACAGAATCGCACAGGAGTTCAATGCAAGGACCTGGAGACTGACGGGCTGGGACTGAGTCCTGGACCTACCCTTCCACGCTGGGTGACCTTGAGCAACTTAACTTCTTGGTTCCTCAGATTCCTCACGTCTTATATGGAGGAGTTGTGAGAATTAAGCTCATTGATATTTGTTCAATGTCACGTGGGACAGTGCCTGGCCCGCAGTGGGCACCACGTAGGTGTTAGCCATCAATATGTATGTCCCCAGTCCCACTGGCTCTGCGAAGCCAGGGCCATGTCTCTGTAGGTGCTGCTGGGCACCCAGCGCCTGGCGTTCAATGAATCCTTGCTGAGTGGAGGTACAGAGGACGCGTGAACACCTGCTTGGAGCTGGCTGGGAAAGTGAGCCTCTTAAGTAGACCCTGGGCAAATGGCAGCACAGATGACACTTGCCATTGTCCCTCATTCCCACAGTCTAGAATTGACATACTGATGCACAAGGTAACGCAAGAAAACTCGAGCAGCTGAAGTCATCAGAAAAGGCTGGATGATGAGGTTAATGAGGTTAATTCACGGGCGCTGGCTCTGCGTTCTCCATTGTAGGCAGCTGAGAGCCCAGGAAAACAGGGCTGCCCGTCAAAGCAAGCTGACGTGTACTGGTGGAGAGGCAAGCATGTGAGCTCCTTGCTGGCTCTCTGGTGTCACTCATTGCAGAAACAGCGGTGCCTCCTGGCCATTGTCCACCCCCTTTTCTAGTCTCTCCATTTAAGATGGACAAATGAGAAGGGGGATGGGAATGGGAATGAATGGGTTTGGGTTGGACGACCCGCAATGTCTGCCAAGTCTTTCACAGCCAGCAGCTGATAATCACTGTTGTTCTTTTAGCATTGGGCTTATTGTTGCCTTAGAAACAGCTACAAATTACAGTAATACCTTGGTTTGCGAGCATAATTTGTTCCAGAAACAAACTACTCATATTGCAAGACATCGCTTGTTTACCAAGTTAAAATGTAGTACAGTATTAGAATTGTTTGCTCGTCTTGCAGAACACTCGCAAACCAAGTTACTCGCAATCCAAGGCTGTACTGTATTTTCATTTTTTCCATATTTCATTTCTTTCCTCTGCAGGCAAACCTGGTGAAGTGGAAAGGACAGGAATGGTTTCTGACTTGCTCAGAATACCAAAGCCCTGACAGGACTTGCTATTGACACCAGGTCGCCGAACTTCTCACTCAGACTTTTCTTTTGGCCACCCTGATTTCACATTTTATCTATTTGAGAGAACTGGTCTTTGCACTGTGTTGTGTGTTGCTGACGAATTGGGCAGGCTAAGGTGGTTTTCCTCATGTGCTGACTAAGGCACAGATCACTGGTATTTCCAGCACCGCTCCAGAAACTGGAGACCCACTTGTCACTGGACCCACGGACATATTTCTACAGGGAGTATGGAAGAAAAAGGTAGAGTGAAATAAAAAGCTGACAGCGGCTGAAAAAATACTACTGCATTTTTGCAGATCAAGCTATGTTTAAACCTCAAAACCGAACATAAATCCATGTAAGACGCACAAAAAATGATAACTAAAAGAGGACCTGCCAGGGTTTATGAGCACAGTAAAAATCAAAAGGGACCTGTTGCCCCAGGTCACTTGGCTCATATCCAGCCTGTGAGCCTTCACTTTTATAGCTTCCTGAAGAGCCCCTTGTTAAAAGAGGTGTTCTGTTTGATTCTCCATGAGGACATGGCTTTTGTACTAGAAAAATGTCTTAACAGTTTGTGTTTTTAAACATATTATACATTAAAAACCTGTGATGACACCACGCCTGGCTCCTGTGAAGCCTTGTAAGCGAGCTGAGTGTCTTCAGTTACAGAGCTGTTTTTTCAAGCTCGAATTCCTTCCTGCCTTCGAGGCCCAGCAGACCACCGGTGCCTGCACATATTTATTTAGACAATAATATTGACTAGACAGCCAGATTTTTCTCACTCTCTTTACATCCGGAAGGCTTGCTCATAATTAGTGAAATAAGCTTTCTCTGCTTCTCTGTGCCAAGACTCTTTAGGAAGTAGTGAGGACATAGACACAATTGTCTCTGCTCTCTCTTTTCATTCTCTCTGCCACACCTTTTCCCATTCTTTCCACAATCCTTCGTACAAAATGTGACACTTCACACCGAGCTGCACAGGGAGGTCAGCTCTGGGGGAAACACCTCTTCAGAGGAAGGACTTGCTCGCCTTCCCCTGGGCTCAGCCCCTTCCCGCGTCGCCCCCCTTTGGCCAGAGGGTGAGAGTACATCTTCGCTCCGTGTCGCTTGCCACAGCTTTTCTGAGCACAAAGAGCCTCATGGGCGCTTTTCACAGTGACGGCGCAGATGAAAACACTGTGTCTCGCTCAGACAGCGGACCGGGGTCATCAGCTGGAAGCTTTGAGGACTAACTGGAAACGGACTTCCCATCCACGTGTGAAATGATTCCTCCCTCCCTCTTCAGTTCATGTTATAAAAGGAAAGAGGAGAAGCGATTACAAGAAAAAGAACAGGATGCAGTTGACAAAACATGAGATGAAAGTGTGGTTAGGTGAGGAAATTGACGTTGTCTTCACAGTGACCCTTTATCAAGTCACCCATACCTTTCAGAATCTGATGAAAGATACACACTGTTTCCCCAGGAAAACGCGGAGGAGCACATGGATAATTTGCCTGTTATCGCATGTGATTCACTGATACACCCCAGTCCTATATGAACCACAGGCCAACAATTTCTATTTTAGAAGCAAGTTAGAAGAAACTGGTAACAAAAGTACTTCTAAGAGTGGTTGGGAAATAAATCTTAATGACGAAGACATTTCCAAGGATATGAGGAAACGCAGAGCTGACATCATGCACAAGAAGAGGATGATGAACTGAGGGCTCGTCAAAGAAAAATGTTAATCTACTGGGTGGGTCCTCCTGTTACAGGAACATTTCCACCATCGATGCTAAGATGTGTTCCATTCCATGTAATTTGTGGCAGGGGAGAATTAGTCCCTCTGAACTGCAGTAGATCACGCCACCTGGAAGTGTTTTAAACACATCGACAAGCGTTCAATCTCAAAAATGGTTCGCTTTTGTAAATTTTTGTTTTGTGTTGCTTCCTCCTGTGGGTTGATAGTTTTCCAAACGGTACATTTTCAAAGGCTCCTGCTTCGCTAAGGTAACATGTTTTTAGACACTTATCTGGGGTCAGGGTGAACGCGTACTCTGGCACAGTCACAAAAGAGGGACAACAGCAGCCAGGACAGGCTGCTGCCACCCAGATCTGAGTGCCTCAGCATGGCGGGAATTGATTTCTCGCTCGTGCAAAGTCTGCTGTGGCCCCAGCAGCTCCCCACGCCATCTCTCACCGATGTGTTGGCTCAGTGTTCTAAGCTGCTCGAATCCTTCAGCCCCTTTATGTCACCACTTACTCCGTTGTCACTGTGGGAGAGAAGCGCTGAAGATATGAGCACCACAATCACATGCTTCCCCCTGAAAGTGTCTACGTTGCTCCCAACCACATTTCTTTGGCCAAGGAAGGTCACAGAGTGATGCCTAATTGTATGGAGATGGGGAAGCACGGTCCATCAGTGGGCCAGGAGAACCAAGTGATGATAAAAGTTGTAATGTCTGTCACAGGGATCACTGGAACACATTTGAAAATGAAAATAAATTCTGAGGGGGCCGGCCAAGTGGCTCAGTTGGTTAAGAGCGTGAGCTCTGAGCAACAGGGTCGCCAGTTCGATTCTCACATGGGCCAGTGAGCTGCACCCGAGCTTAGCTGCCAACAGGTGGCAGAATGGCTCAGCTGGTGAGAGCATGTGCTCCTAACAACAAGGTTGCTGGTTCGACTCCCAAATGGAATGAGGGGGCTAAGCCCACCCGCCACTAAGATTGAACACGGCACCTTGAGCTGAGCGACCACAAGCTGCTGATGGGCAACCAGATGGCAACTGGACTTGGAGCTGAGCTAGCTGCGCCCTCCACAACTAAGACTGAAGGACAACAACTTGGCTGTTCCCCTTCCCCAATTCCCCAACACTATCCCCCTTCCCCAATTCCTCAATAAAATCTTTGAAAAAAAAATAAATTCTGAGGAATATGTGCGCTAAGATGTTCTCTGTGAAGGGGAAACTACCCCCACCTTAGATTTTAAAATGATAGGCTTTCCATTTCCAGCCATGATGATAGAGACCAGTTTACCCTCCTTAAATAAAAATAATATGACAATGGTTTTCAGACATTAGACAACACGCAGTGCAGACTTTGATCACTGAGTGAAGAGAAACAAGGTGAGGCCCATGACAGCCCCCAATGACTACCTGACTACAGAGTCCAGGCCCAGGAAGGGGGTGTGTGCGCGCGCATGCACAAATAGTTTCATGGTTTCACTGAGTTGAGACAGAGGTAAGTGTTCAGGGAGACCAAGGTGGCTAGGATTTGAAGGGCAGAGGACAGGAGAGAGAGAGGAGAGAGAAAGTTAGCTGGTTCTAGAGATCTGCAGGACAGTCCCCTAGAAAGACTTGGTCTGAATATTGTTCTGTGCATTCATGTGAAGAAAAGATGTGTGGATAGTGACACAGCGCCAGAAATGAACAGGCCAAACAATTCCCAAAACTCACGCAGGACTGGAAAGCGGTTATATTCTCACCAGCCAGCATGTAAAGCCATCATCATATAGGTATCCGGCAGGATGTTCACAAAGGGATCACCAGGGGGCTGGAGCTGGTCCCCCATAACCTGTTCTTCTCTGTAGTCAGAGGGAGACATCAACAATGCAAATCCAGGGCCGGCCAAGTGGCACGATGGTTAAGAACTGGCTTGGGACGCCAGAGGGCCCCGGTTTGGATTCCACATATGAGGGCCAGTGACACTGTCCTCTACAGCTAAGATGCTGAACAGCAGCTCAACCTGGAGCTGGGCTGCCGGGAGTCGTCGGCTATGGCGTAGGCTGCAGCCCCTGTGGCAGTGGGTTGCTATGGGCTACCGTGTGTAGCCAGCAGCCGCAGTGAGCGGCCGTCCAGAAGCTGGTGACTGATCTGCCTCGCCCGGGAAGAGCGCAATGATGGTGCCAACTTGGGCCCGTGAAGCAACGTCCTCCACAACTAGACTGAAGAACAAAATACGACAGCAACTTGTCTGTTCCCCTTCCCCCAATTCCCCAGCGCTGTTCCCATACCCCCAGTTCCCCAATTAAAATCTTAATAAAAAACAAACAAACAAAAAAAAACAATGCAAATCCAATCATAGCTCGGGTTATTCCAGGAGAAGCGCCGGATTATCAACCTGGAACCCAGGTCACATGCTGGCGTCGCTCCCGCCACATCGCCTCCTGTCTATATCCAGCCTGCTCTGCCAGCCTTCAGCCTGCTTGCTGTCCCTTCAGCTGACCGTGGTCCAGTGGCTAAGGTATGGCATCTCCTTGAGACCCAGGTGGATCAATAACCCCACTAGCCAACATGCATTAAATGAAGGAGTGAACTGAGTTTAGCTTGAGATTGTCTCATTATCTGTATGGGAAGGAACCTTTGAGTGAGGTAACCTGGACAGAACTACATCCTACCTGTGGTTCTAGGTACACGGCCATTCCTAACCTTCCCATCATGAACGGCCCTTTCACCTCTGCACTTGAGAATTACTTCTGATGACTAAGAAACAAAACAGAAAACCACTGCTAGTATCTGACTGCCTGAAATATACAGATGCCGATCAGAAACAGAATCAATGTAAAAACTGAGTTAGGCCAACCAGGAGTGAGAAGTGGGTAAGCATGCCCCTCACCTCGGAAGAGGGCGTCGAGTGTGCACGGGCCGTCTTCCATCTGAGGGGGCCCCGCCTCACATTTGAACAAGGCCCCGGGCCCCACTCTGGCTCTGTCACATGCTTCAGGTTAACTTTCCAAAGTACATCACATGATATGGGATTGACTTCAAATAATCAGCTCAGAGTCGCTTAGCCCATGTGGACCTTTCTGAGACTGTGCTGTTGAGAAGGGAGCGGGGAAGGCCACAGAACTTGCATATCAACATGCTGGCAATAACTTTTAAAAACTTTGCAGATGGCCATTAGTTGCTGTAGCCCAGCTAACGCGTACCTTGGGAAGGAGAAAGGTTATAGGCCTCCGTTATTTCAGAGGCTCATCATTTAGTAAAGGAGCACAGTTTGTCAAGGTAAAGGAGATCGGGAAATACTGATGCTCGAATATATAAGGGGCTTGGGAGGCCTGGACTTCAATTTCCCCATTTATTAAGTGACAATGACTATTACAGAAGAGAGCTGGCAGTCGCACCTCACCATACTCACGGCTGAGGGACCCAATTGTGCTCGCTGGTCACTTTGAGATCAACAAGGGTGTGTAGGAAAGAGGGTCCCCATTCGCCCTGGATCGCATGTGCTCGTCAGCTCGCTTTCATCTCCTGCAGGTGAGATGTGCCTGCAGCAGCCGGTATAACCTGGGGGCCAGGTCCTACTTTTGAACCGGCAGGGGTCACAAGTGATGAAAGCAGAAAGTTTTGGGACACACCCTGCCCTGCCCTTAAACTCACTGGGACTGTCCCATAGGGGTCACCTGGGAGGCGGTCCTAAGGCTGGCTGTCCCAGAGAGGGGCTGCTCCTGACTGAAGCCAGGTGCCCAGGGGCCTGAGCCCCAGTCCTGCTCTTCTGTTCCTGGGAAGGACTGGAGGACACACCTGTTCTTGTCCTGGCACTCTGGACGAGGGGACTCAGGTCCCGAGAGTGTACATGGCTTGTTCAAGGTGACGGACTTGCAACCAGAGCCCCGGGCTCCAACTCACAATTCAGATCTCTTTACACAACCAAGGGTTTCTTGCCTGGATAGAAGGTCCTCAAACTTCTGATGAGTCCTACATCACGGGCTGAACTGAATGGCACGAACTAAGGTCTGCACGTGACAGGATCAGTGCCCAGCTCAGTCGGTACTAATGAACGTCCAGTGAACAGATGATTCAGGGCACTGAATTGGTCTGATAGCGTAAATGGCTTTTGAATTATAATACAAACTCGTTTTATTAAAAAAAAACCACTCAGAAAATATAACTTTATAATAAACATCACTCATAATTACACCCCAGGGAAACTTCACAGCCCGGGTCCTGCTTCCTGGTCCAAGTGCTGCGTTTTGGCCAGTCTCCTGTCACCCTCTATTCCCAATCTCCTGTCCAAATACTTAGCTACTATTTCTACATTGTCAAGATCTGTAAAAATTATACATTATTTCCCAATTCTAGCTCTTCTATGATATCTAACAGTTGATACAATTAAACATCGGAACATCAACATATCAAATGAACCCCATGATGTGTTTGAACCCGGAGAGAATAAAATATACTCTAGGTCATTAAAATTTTGCCACTCGAAGGAGAACTTTCAAGTATCAACATCCAATGGGTAATTTTTCACTTCCTTTCAAAGTCCCTTTACTTTTCCTGGCTCCCAGTCAGCTATCATTCTTTGGGTATCCCATGTCATTTCCTTCTCTTAGAGTTTTCTTTTTCCCGGCCCCTTCCTCACACCAATGAAAGCAGAATGGGAGGTGGGCACTGGGCGTGATGGGTAATTTTATGTGTCAGCTTGACTGGGCCACAGGGTGCCCAGGTGTTTGGTGTGGGTCCCCCAACATGCGAAGGCCCTGCAGCTGCCAGGGCCGCCGTGCCAGCCACTCCACTGCTGGGGCCACGTGATGCGCAGACCCATGTGCCCGAAGTGGCAGTGACAGATCAGGATGCTGTGTGGAGCCTCTGCAGGCCCCATGGGTGAATCTCAGAGCAGGCCTTCAGGACTTGGGGGCACAGCCCTGCCACCCCCTGCAGGTCACTGCTCTCCGTGTGAGGAACAGCTCTTGGCCTGCTCCTGGGCCGCAGGAGAGACGGAACACTTAACCATGGGCCACCACGTGACCATGCGGCCTGAGCTGCCCATGAACTGGGTGTTACCTGACGCACTGAGCATGCAGGTGGGCGGGCACAGCAGCACTCACTCCATCACCAGAGGGAAGTGGCACACGTGATCCGGGCTGAGAAGGCCCTGGAGGCTCAGGGGGTCACAGGGAGAGGTGGCCCAAACGCCCACAGTCCCCACTCTGGCCACACTACCTTCTCTCCCAGCTGCACCATGGGGACTATTTTCAGCAGCTGGCAACAAGAAGTATCAAAAAAAAAAAAAGAAGAAGAAAAAAAAAATCACACAGAACCACCAAATAGTGTTTTTAAAAAGTGCTTTGAGGATTTACTGTACAGTTTTTTTAAACAATTTATATGTTGGCTTCTACATGCTTACATTTGTGTAAAACATTTATACATATTCTTTACAATTTGTACATATATTAAATGGCTATATCATAAACACTGTTCTATGAGATTTTATAAAAGAAAAATCAAGTAGGGAAAATTCCTTATAAAACATTAACAAAAACCCGTGATATTAAAGAACAAGTAGTTCTTAAATTCATGTTCATCTGATTTCCTCTTCTACTTATTTTTTGGTTTTACTTTATTTGTGCTGGCCCAAATTTTTCATTTTCTGTAATATAATTATCAGGCCAGATAAACGAAAGCAGTGACGATAATAACGTAGTAAGGCAACTGCGGGAGACGGAAACGCGCGTCTGCAGGAGTAAGACGGTGCGAGTGCTCAGGCTTAAAGCTGACGGTCTGCAGATTCCGCTTCATGCCATTAACTGAAGTACTAGTGACCTGGAAAGTTCTGCCTGGGTTTTGGTTAGTCAGGAAGAGCATCGCTGTAGTTTTTCTTCAACACGACAGCTCTGGGGTTACCGCACATTATTCCGACTGCCACCCTGGTCAGTCCCTAAGCTTTTCCATTTTGTGGGGGTGGGAGAGGTTTATGAAGCTTTTTCCCCTTTTGAGACAATACCAACTGGCCCACTCGTCTACAATCCAAATCAAGAGGCAAATCGCGCTCTCACTGGCCGTTCTCATTCCGTCTGCCTGGGCAGCTGAGGACTGAAAACAGGTGAGCAGCTCTGCAGGAGCGAGTCCGTCCCACTGGAGCACTCTCCTTCCTGAGCACGGGGGCAGCACAGGGCTGTTCCACTCGGGAGCACCGTCGGAGCTTCTGAAAAACGTCCCTAACCTCATTCTTTTTGGCATAAAGCTTGCCACGCTTAGGAAGGAAGTGCGAGGAGAGAACGCACTCCCCATGGAAGACAACACTTCAGAGTGCTCCCAGGCGAGGGCCAGGGAACCTGACCGTCAGTTTCTGCCAAGCCGTGTCTCCTGAGGGGACACGTGAGGCACCGACACGCAGTGAGGGTGCTGGCAGCCCCAGGGGCCCCTCTTTGCTTCCTCTCCTGAAAAAGTAAGCACTTGAGTCATAAATGTGTCAGTGAAAGGCATGTAGATTTCCCTAAATAGACAGGAATCCCAAAGGATTGAAAATTATAAAAATATACAAACATATATATGCTTTTATTCTGGCATATTTCATATTTTTAAGAAAGCAATTAGTAATTACCTGACATTGGGTAAGAACTGGAAAACTGTGGGTGACTTATAAATTACAATTTTATGTAAAACATCAGTGGGGGAAACCTCTAATTTTCTATTCAAAATTCTGATCATTTCAAGTATATCCCCCAAATAGAGACAATTGCCATTGGTTTAAATAATGGGTGTAGAAAGAATAAAAAGAAGAAGACTATATCACTGATGCCTTTAGGCTGGTAAAGCAAACAGTTTTTTGCAGCTCTTTTCCTTTTTGGTTTTCATTCTTTCTTTCCTTTTTATTTTTATTTTTTGGATGATAGGGGTTAAAATTAAATTCCACTGCCCCAAGTCAGAAAGAAGCACTTCGGAGTTTCCTTCATGTTCCGTTCTGTTCTACATCGCCGGGAAGCGGCCGAGGGCCTGCTTCAGCTTCTCTGCAATCTGGTGAAAAAACCAAAAACAAACCTGAGGTATTACTCCCATTATGACTTCATAGTGTTCTATTATTTCCATTTTGTATGAGTTAAACATTATAACAATGTCAAATACGTGGGTCTATGCTGCTAGTCCCTGCCGGCACCAGGCTTCCAAGCAAAGGCTGCTGACACGCCCGCCGGCGTTGCCCACGGCGCCGCCCAGCTCCGCTGTGGGGCAGCATTCCCAGACTAGTATCCGCTTTTCCTGCAGCGAGGCAGGAGGGCTGGTCCTTGTGTTTGGCGGATTCCCGCCTTCTCGCATCCCACCCCC